AAATCACTTTTGCTAGCAGTCTAAAGTCATATAAAATATGAAACTGAAATCTCCAGTGTCCTTCACTTTTTACTTTCTATTTGTTCATGGGATGTGGGTGTCACTGGCTAGGCCAGCATTTGTTCTTCAGCCTAGATGGTGATTAAGAGTAAACCATATTGCTTTGGGTCTGGCATCATATTAAGGCCAGATGGCAGACTTTCTTCCAGAAAGGATATTAGTGAACCAGATGGGTTCTTCCTTTGACAATTGACACTGATTGTATCATTTTTATAATGGACATTGCTGGCCAGTCCAGCATTTATTGCCCATCCCAGAGGGCAGTTAAGAGTCAACCACGTTGCAGTAGGTCTGGAGTCACATATAGGCCAGACCAGTTAAGGATGGCAGTTTCCTTCCCTAAAGGGCATTGGTGAACCAGATGGGTTTTTCCAACAATTGACAATAAATTCATGGTCATCATTAGACTCTTAATTCCAGATTTTTATTGAATTCAAAATCCACAATCTGCCATGGTGTGATTCAAAGGCCGGTCCCCAGAACATTCCCTGGGTCTCTGGATTAACAGTCCAGTGATAATGCCGCTAGGCCATTGCCTCCCCTTGTATATGGTTGCTGTTGGGCTGGTTTTGTTTTTAATTGAATTCAAATTTCTCTATCTGCCATGGTAGGATTTGAACCCATGTCCCCACACATTAGCTTGAGGCTTTGGATTTACTCGTCTGGTGATATTACTACCACCACCCCGTTTCTCATAAAACAATAAGACATAGAAGTAGGAGTAAACCATTTGGGCCTGTTGGACCTTCTCTACCAGTCAATATGATCATGACTGATCTTGGACTTCAACTTCACTTTTGCGACCATTCTCAAAATCCCTTGATTTCATTGAGAGACCAGAAACCTATCTATCTGAGCCTTAAAGATTTCAATGATAGAACATCCACAAACCTCTGTGATAGAGAATTCCAAAGATTCACGACTGTGTAAAAATTACTCCTCACCTCAGCCCTAAATGATAAACCCTGTATCTTGAGACTGTGTTCCTGTGTTCTGGATTCCCCAGCCAGGGAAACAACCCCTCAGTATCTGTCTTGTCGAACCCTAAGCAGATTCTCATATGAATTTATAAGATTACATCTCACCCTTCTAATTTACAGACAGCATAAGCCCAAGTTACTCAGTCTATCGCCAAAGGACAATCATCGTACCCCAGCAACCAATCTGGTGAACTTTCAAAGTATTTCCCCCATTTCAAGGACTTTTGTCTTTAAGTATGGAGACCAAAACTGCACACAGTGCTCCAGGTCTAGTCTCACTAGGGTCTGCACAATTGTAGCAACATTTCTTAATTCTTGTTCTCCAAATCCACTGCAATAAATACTGACATGCCATTTGCCTCCCAATTTGCTTGCTGTAACCTGCATGCTAAATGTTTGTGTTTCTTGTGTGAGTACATCCAAATCTGTGTTTGTCTAACTTCAATCATTGCTGTAAGCACTGGCCTGCTGCCTGTGTCTGCTTGGACACAACCTTGGATGTGTCAACGTATGACCACCTACCTCCAATTGCCCCACCCAATCGAACAGTCTTTTTCCTCCTTCAGTCATTTTTTGAATATCACTATGATTAATTCATTAAATAAAATAAAAGTCAAGCACATTATTAACCCTCTATGATTTTTCTCCTGCTTGCTGCCATCAATTCCAGGGCAATTATTCATTAATTCCTGGAGATTTTAGGACAGACTTGAAGGGTTGGCCACCCTGCGCATGCACAGCATAATTCCAACAAGCTGCTTCTCAATGATCTTTCTTATATAAACGTTGAAATATTACTCTTTTCATACAGAACAGATTCAAATTGCTGGTGACAATATAAACCGCAGACACTCACACTTGGCTAGCCCTTCAGGACAACTGATGCTTCCAACCATTGAGGGCGTTTAACCCAGTTGGCTTTGGCAACCTCAATCATAGCAACCAAGTAACTTCACCGACTGGAAGAAAGCAGCATTTTATTTGCACCCAAAATATCTTGTTTTACCACTACTGTGCATTTTGAATGTAGCATTACTTGCACATTTTACATGGGGTTAATGAGAAGTGCAGGCACAAAATTTTCTTTGACTCTACTTGAAAAGCTGTCCGCAGTGTCTATCGCGTATAGAATGGTTACCAATATTCCACTTTCTGGCCAGTAATCTTAGGGCTTCTATAAAAATTATACTCATTCATTGGACTAATCTTAACTGTGGCAGATAGTGCAATATGAGCAATATTAAGGAGCAGGCCATTTTACAGCTCTACCGTATTCCATCACCATTGAAGTCAATGGCATTTGGCAACTGGGAGACCTACATTAATGGTGCTCATCCCACTTCTGCAAAAATGAAAAAGACCCCCTGAAAGCCCATGCAACAGATGTATTCTAGAGATTTGTTTTTATACATTGTGGTATGAGCCAAAGCATCAGATTCATGGAACCTGACAATATACCTCAGCTCAGATTTGCTGAATGCTGTGCTGGGTTGAGGGGCAAATTTTTCAACCAAAACATTACAAATCTTTGGAATTCTTCATCCCAGAGCTTTGTGGATGTTTCGTCATTGAAAATTAGAATTATGTTTATTATCACATGTACTGAAGTACAGGGGATACCAGAATACAGTGAAAAGTGCCAATCCCGGCACCATCTCAGGTAAAAAGGTACAAAATCTTAAGTACAAAGTAGGAAAAAGGAAATAAAGTTACAAGTTCAACATTCAACATTCAACATTACTATTTAAGACTGAGATAAACAGGTCTTTGGAGTCTCAGAGCTCCAGGATTGCAGGACGCACCATAGCCATGAATTTCTGCTCTTTCCCATCTCCCAGGCTGGTGAATTGTTTATAAAACACCTGATGGTTTCATTAAAAACAGCATATTAAAATTTGCTTCTGACAAGACCATAATTATGAAATAATGGTTGTACTACCGTAATGTTTTTATGCAATGAATTTGATGATTTTGAAGCAGTGAATTTGAAGTCTGTAACGATGTTGTAGTTTTAAGAGGTTATTTTGTACTGGTTTCTTTTAAGAGAGAGATTGAATGAGAGGCGTACAGCAAGCCAGTTAAACCCACTTGAGTAAGCAGTTTGGGAGGTCTTGGGTTTTTTTTAACAGTCTGAATGGGTGTGGCCAGCTCTCTCAGATTAGGATTTCTGGGTTTTAGTTTTTCAATAGCATCAGAAGCTATTGGGGTGTCAACAGAGTTAAAAGCTTCAGTGAATGCCTCCTCATTGCTATTCACTCTGCATTTTCTCTTCATGTACTTTCCTCCTGGAATGGAGAACTGCATGTGAGAATCTGTCTGAATTTTCCTTTTTTGCCAACGGATGTGTATGTGGGATGTTACTATTTTGGAACAGTTAATTAGTAACAGTAACTGTATCTATTATTCTGTTACGTTTCCAATAAAGTAATTTATTCAAAATTCCTCTTTCTTTGGGTATATTTTAACTACAGTATTTAAGTAAATTGTGTTCTGCTTAACATCAAGTAGTGTAACCAGTCCCATCGCATCTGGAACAGACACTTTACATTTGCCTGTAAAATAAGAAAAAGTAATGGTCTAGGCTACCTTCTTAAAATATGTTGAAGGGATCTGGTCTGGCCCGTAACAAGTTCTATTGTTAGGCACTTGCATGAATAATAGCAATTCGGTTTGTCAAGGAAGGTGAGGAACATACAATTTCCCAGAGAACTTGACCAGAGCAAGAGTTGAACAGAATTGGAAGAAAACTCTGAAAGTTGTTGAGCTACTGGGGAGAGTGACCAGTGTGGAGTTAGTGGGACAAAGTGCTAAGTTATTCCAGGTCATTTTAACACCCAAATGTTGTTACCAAAGTACAGAACTCAACTCCCACCTGAACCTACCAGGAATGATGCGGAGTTGATCAATGGGAAGAAGGAAAGTGTGACGGGAGACTACTGATAGATACCCAAGGTAACAGCTCCAATTGGCCTGGTGAATGATGTGTGATCAGGTGGAAGAGAAGTGGTCTCTGGGTGCAATCATAGTCAGAGGGAGCACATCTGGGGCAAAAGAGGCCCAAACTTTCCTTGTGGGGTTGGAAGAAACACTTCTGTTCCACTTGGTCAATAGAGAATCCTCAAAAAAAACAATAAACTTCATTGATTCTTAACTCTAGTCTGTGCCTGCTGCTCCTTCTCATTCAGCAGAGGCGTGACCAAGTTCCAGTCACTCATCATGGCCTAAAAAAATCATAGTGAGAGCTAATTGGACATCATTAGACCCCTATTGTGGCATGTTAATGATACTCTCACCTACTCTGGACTCAGGATCCCAAGCACCACTCAAATGTGCAAGGCAGGAGCAAATGGGCAAGGTGTGCACCATGCTGCTGCTGTGTAAACCTCTCTCATGCCCCTGTTCTCACAGTAAGGGTTTAAAATTGGAACTTTGCCATAAACAGGATAAAAGGATGTTGCAGTGACTGATAACTGCCATGCTTTGAAAGTGTGTTTCAAATTGACACTTGGGTAGGGAGCCTATTCATTCCATTCACCGAATCCCTGTTTCACTGAGCAAAACTTGATCACTACATCGCATGTTGCCTTTGCTAAAAGTAGCCTCATTAAATTGTTTAGTGCCCCTTGCAGACCCCAAATCACTAACATTTTGTTCCGCCAAAAGAACCCCCTGCACAGAAGTTTATGCAATGCATCTGTTGTTTTAAAGGGATGTGAAGTGCATACCACATAATAAAACATTCACTCTATTTAACATTGAAGTGTGTGTGTTTGTCTGTGTGTGTGCGTTTGTGTGTGTGCATGTAAGAGAGAGAGATTATGAAGGGCTATATGTTTTTGTGCAACGCCAAGCTCCTTCTCTCTCACAGCCACCCCCAGGTGCCCCAGCCGCACAACACCTGCATTTGGCTTGTAAATATTCCATTGGTTTCTTTTTCATACAACCTTTTTACTTGCACAGAAATTCACCAGAACACTGCAGCATAGCGAAAGCAGGGAAGATGGTCAGTGGATCCGACAGTGTTCCAATGAGCTACAGCAGCTACATGGAGGAGAAGCATGTGCCACCTCCCAACATGACGACTAACGAGCGGAGAGTGATTGTGCCGGCAGGTAATTGTTTGAAAGGATATTCTTTTCGCTTGTCGCTGTTAAATTGCAGAACAGACCACCTTGGAAAAACACGCAAAACTAGAAATTGTCAGATACGCAGGGAAGGGTAGAGAGGGATTGAATCAAACAGTAACATGTCTGTGTTTGGAGGTGTGGCTGAGGAGCAAGGGAGGCTTAGAGATGGACACTAATACACAGGGCCTATGTCAAGTGTAAATGCTGGTTTCAAAGGCTGACTCTCATCAGTTTATAGCTCCAGATAAATGTCAAATCATTTTAATAGTTTCTTAAATATGAACAGTTGGGGCAGCACGGTGGCTCAGTGGTTAGCACTGCTGCCTCACAGCGCCAGGGTTGATTCCACCCTCGGGTGACTATCTGTGTGGAGTTTGCACATTCTCCCTGTGTCTGCGTGGGTTTCCTCCAGGTGCTCCGGGTCCCTCCCACAGTCCAAAGATGTACATGCGAGGTGGATTGGCCATGCTAAATTGCCCATAGTGTTCAGGGATGTGTAGATTAGGTGGGTTATAGTGGGGTGGGTCTAGGTGGAATGCTTTGAGGTTCAGTGTGGACTTGTTGGGCTGAAGGGCATGTTCCCACACTGTAGGGATTCTATGATCTATGATCTACAAGCAAGGATGCAAACTAAATGGGATCATGTTTGCCATCAATCTGTTCTCTTATAGTAAGTTTCTCTGATTATTTGGAGGGATGTATGCTGATGTATTTCCTTTTTTTGTTGTTTGGCATTCCCAGCCCATTTTTAAATGGCCTAATTCTGCTCCTAAAACTTATGAATATTAAAGGTAGAAATGTGTCTCTGTTTGGAGGTGTGACTGAGGATCAAAGGAGGCTTAGAGATGGAAACAAATACACAGGGCCTATTTGAAGTATAAATGCTGGTTTCAAAAGCTGACTTACATCAGTTTATAGCTCCAGATAAATGCCAAATAATTTTAATAGTTTCTTAAACATGTACTGTTGGTAAGGAAGAGGAAGAAGCAATCATTTTCTATTTTAACGGGAGCAGAAATCTGGCACTTGTGCTTAAACTGTTGTGCATCATGGACAACTTCCCTGTGTCATCGTTGGCGCAACAAGCTTGAGATAATTGCTCCAATTCACGCCAATTTCCAAGTCACTGTAATTGGGGTGAAATTTGTCTAAGTTATCATCGTGATTAAACTTGTATCAAAACAGAAGTCAAGATTCCTCTAAGACTCCGAAAGCTTGTGATTTCAAATAAGCCTGTTGGTCTATAACCTGGTGTCGTGTGACTTCTGACCTTGTCCACCCCAGTCCAACTCCAGTACCTCCACACTAGACTTTCATGCATATCTCCGAAAATCTTTCATCCCCTTGGTAATCAAGAATCTTTTTACTGCTGCCTTAAAAATGTTTAAAGATTCTCCATCCCCTGTCTGTTGTTGCATTTGCAATGAGTTTTAGTAAAGGTTGTTGGGATATTATGTGAATGGCATCATAGATTTCACTGTGTCTGATCACATTTTTTCCCCGACTTGGATGACAGAAACCCTACGAAGCTGACTCTGAACTAGGTCAGGCAAATTCTAATCTCTACATGAATCTCTGCTTGAATTTGTTGGAAAAGAAGGGTAGTGAGGCAGGTAGGGGGGAGCGGGAAGGGGAAGCACGCGTTGTAGGAGGCTGCTTTTTCAAGCACTACTGTAAATTTGATTTGATTTGATTTTGATTTTATTGCCACATATACTCAAGTACTGAAGAACAGGAGTACGGTGAAAAGGATATGATGTTGCCACACAAGGTGACATCTTAAGTATGCGCCTAGTACCTAGGTACAGAATCTTAAGAACAAGTTTAAAGTGTCACCTTCTTACTTTTATGTAGAAAATAAAAAAAAACTGAAAGTTCAAACATTACAGTCTTTCTTAAGTGCTTAAATCCTGGGTAGAATGGTACTCATCTGTGGAAGAAGGGAAAGGAGAGGAGAGATGACCTTCCTCTTCTCTTCCGGTGCTCCGTGCGAATCTGAAGCTTCTTAATCTTTAGTTTAGGAACTAGGTTCCAACTTATTCAATGGCCACACCATTCACCATTTCTCTAATCACACAAACCCAGAACTATTACTGCACAACTATTACTACAGGAATGATGAACAGCTCACTGAGTACCATTTTTCCTGCCTTCTTCCTGCAAACCTGCACATTTTTCCTTTTCAGATAATAATCTAATTTTCTTTTGCATGCCTCGATTGAACCTGCCTCCACCATACTTTCATGCAATGTATCCAAACCCTAACGACCCACTCTGTGAAACCTTTACTCCTCAAATAATTTTTACTTCTTTTTTTAAAAATTCTCTCATGGGCTGTGGGTGTTGCTGGATGGGCTATTTCCTTTTTTGAGAAGGTGGTGGTGAGCTGCCTCCTTGAATCACTGCAGTCTATGTGCTAGGTAGACCCACAATGCCATTTGGTGGGAGTTCTAGGATTTTGACCAAAAGATACTGAAGGAATGGTGACATATTTCCAAGTCAGAATGGTGAGTAGCTTGGAGGAGAACTTGCAGGTGATGGTGTTCCCATATATCTGTTGCCATTGTTCTTCTAGATTGTAATGGTTATGGGTTTGGAAAGATACTGTCTAAGAAGCCTTGGTGAATTTCTGCAGTGCATCTTGTAGATGGTATACACTGCTGCTACTGAGCATTGGAGGTGGAGGGAGCAAATGTTTGTGGATGTGATGCCAATCAATTGGACTGCTTTGCCTGGATGGTGTCAAGTACCTTGAGTGTAGGCACCATCCACTTGATACAAATTACTTGAGCTATGCCCTCTCATTCTTGGTCTTTTCAGTGTTCTCCTTGTTTAACCTGTCCAGATCTCTCATGATCTTGAATACTTCAATCAGATCTCTTCTCAACCTAAGGAAAACTGTCCTAACTTATCTACTCCATCTTCATAACTGAAATCCTTAGCCCTGAGATAATGCTTGTAAATCATTTCTCCACTCTTTCCAAGGTGTTCACATTTTTTCTAAAGTGTGACAGTCAGAACTGGACACTGCACTCCAACTGAGGCTGAACTTGTGTCAAACTATGATATTGACTTTCTTCCATGTTTGTGACATGGCTTGGTTGGTGGTGAAAAGGGCACTACGTGTGAGATCCTTCTTTTATGCCTGGACTCCCTGTGCCACTGCACACTGCCCTCAAGGCAGCTGTGGGGTGGGGGGGGGGGGTTGGGTAGAGACTGTCACACATCTCCTTCTGGAATGTGCCTTTGCAGAGTAAGTCTGAAGAATGATGCGGTGGTTTTTGTCATCCTGAGCAGTTCCATGATGCAGGACTCTGTGCTCTACGGTTTGTTCCCCGGGACACACACCGAGACAAACATCAACTGCACCTGCAGGATCATCAACTCAGTGAAAGACTCTTTTTGGTCTGCCTGAAACCTGTTAGTCTTCCAGAGCAAGGAGTTGGCCTCAACCGAGTGTTGCAGACTGGCACATTCTGAGACACAGGACTATGTGCGGAGGGACACACTGAAGCTTGGGGCAGCTGCCGCCAAGGCACAGTGGGGAAAGACCACAGTCTAAGGTCTTTCTGCTGAAGTTAAATGGGGGTCTGTTCAGTTATCAGAACCTCCTGGTGCCACAAATGCATACAAATATATTTTGGTTCAATAAGAGACATAGAATCATAGAATCATAGGGCGGCTGGTGGTTCAGTGGTTAGCACTGCTGCCTCACAGCACCAGGGGCCTGGTTTCGATTCTACCCTTAGGCAACTGTCTATGTGGAGTTTGCACATCCTCCCTGTGTCTGTGTAGGTTTCCTCCAGGTGCTCCGGTTTCCTCCCACAGTCCAAAGATGTGCAGGCTAGGTGGATTGGCCATGCTAAATTGCCTGTAGTGTTCAGGGGTGTGTGAATTAGGTGGGTTATAGGGGAATGGGTCTGGGTGGGATGCTCTGAGGGTCAGTGTGGATTTATTGGGCCGAAAGGCCTGTTTCCACACTGTAGGAATTCCATGAGACATCTTTGGTTTGCTTGGATAGAATCAACCTCCAATGTTTGTTTCCTTGATATGCTACTGAACTGCATTTGTGTCAATCTATATACACAAAGATTCTTTTTATGAATAAAGTATATTTTGAAATTAAAAAATTCACTAAGTTGAGGCATGCCAATGCTGAGAATGGAACAATTTTAACTCAAGTATTTAGTGTCAGCATGAAGCACTAAGGTCAGGTATAACATGGTGAGAGCCAAGTCAAGCTTGCACAGTGCCTCTGAGTTAATCTTATTAACATATGTATTTGTTTTTCTCTGATACACCCCAATTCCCTTCCACATGTACATACGTATATATAGATCCTACACTATGGTCCACGGATCACGTCAGGCAGTGGCTGGAGTGGGCAGTGAAGGAATACAGCTTGATCGATGTCGACGTGTCACTCTTTCAGAATATTGATGGGAAGGAGCTATGCAAAATGACCAAAGAAGATTTTCAGCGTCTCACCCCAAGCTACAATGCTGACATCCTCCTGTCACACCTTCACTACCTCAGAGAGAGTAAGTATGGATTCAGTCTGGAATAAAATGCTATTAACACTCATGGTAATTGTTCAGAAACTACCAACTGCCATAAACAAAAAAATTTGGTTTATTATTGGAAATTTGCTCCTTAAATGGTCTAAACCAGATATGACTATAGCAGCATTGTAATATAATTGCCTCTTAAGTGCCTTCTGAAATGGTGGAGCAAGTCACTCAATTGTAACAAACTGCAGTGACAAAGTCCTAATCCAATATTTCTGTGGATGTTTGTGCACTGTGCATTTTTGGCCCTTGGCCCCAACTTTCACTCCCAGGGAGGAAGCATTGAGACGGGAACTTTTCAGGAACAGCCGCTCCGCCCCTCACCCCAATCTTGACTCAGGAGAAACTGGCCTGGAGATTGATTTTCATTCTCAGATGGTAGGGCTCTCTTGGAATCATGCTGGACAACTCTGAAATGAGAAAGGAGGATGCTGGCTTCAGTTATGGGCACAAGGCACACCTCTCAGCAGCAACACTGTAATACAGTTTAAAAGTAATCATCGCATCCACTCGCACCCATCTCAAACCTTTACCCCTTCACATTGCTCATGCCCCATCTGTGTCATTGCATGCTAACTCATACCCTCATGCCATCCTATGATTGCCCACATGGCCCCATGGGTGGTGATAGTCCCTTTGCCATCCTATGAACCTCTTTTTTTTTCCTCATGACCCCTTATACACCCTCTGCTAACCTGTGTCCCCTTACTCACCATGCTGATTCTTTAAAGCTCCTCAATTTAGTGAGCACTCAAGCCATGCTCTCACCCCATCAACTACCCTGTGCCCTCCTCCCTCCATGCTTATTAACCTCATGTCCATCTTGGTAAATCCTAAGGAGCCATTGTTATGTGTCTATTGATGGTATCACTGAATAAGACAAAACTCCAATTGCTTAAAAATTCAATACATTAAGATTCTTTCAACTTACTTCTCATGAAAACAAATATTTGGTTTCAAAGTTCTTTGACATTTTTGACAGCTTTTATAGGTCCAGTGGAACCTTTTAGGCACATTCACATATAATTTTTAACAGTTCAAAATGGTACCTGAGAACTATCCCCCAAACAAAGGGACCTGACCTCTTGTTCCCTGAAGGACACCTTTTTAAAGAGTGTTAACACCATTTAAAGTACGTGGAAATCACACATGTGTGAAATCTAGGCTGTCCAAACTCACCTCAGTGAAAATTGTAAATGGGGAAGGATGTGCTTTTGATTTTCAGGGATTTTCATAACTTATGCTGTGACAGAGTAGGTCACCATCACTGCAGATATCGGGCCTTTGTTCCATAAAACCCAGAAGAACTGTGGATGCTGTAAATCAGGAACACAAACTGAAGTTCCTGGAAAAGATCTGCAGGTCTGGTAGCATCTGTGAAGAAAAATCAGAGTTAACGCTTCAGGTCTGGTCTGGATCTCAGGAAGGGTCACCGGACCTGAAACGTTAACTCTGATTTTTCTTCACAGATGCTGCCAGAGCTGCAGATCTTTTCCAGCAACTTCTGTTTTGGCCTTTGTTTCAGTTGCTTTGATAAACAATTGAAAAGTTAAAGCTCAAACGAGTTGTAATGTGGACTTTAAGATACAAGTTATGGACCAGGGCAAACCCCCTCAAACTATTCAGAAGATAATCTGGACCATAACCTTTTCTTGTTTTAAAGGTAAAGGTGTTGAGTTCCAGATGGAATTTGATTGGTCAAACTAGCGGATTTAAAGCAAAACACACTTTATTTATCCACCATAGTTAAAATACAACAAAAGAAAGAAGGAATTGGAATAACTTAACTCTGTTGGAACACTACTAATTAACTTTTCCAATATAGTAACATCTCATAAACACACCCTTGGCAAAAGGCAAATTCAGCACACAGATTGTCTCACGAGCAACACCTGTAACAAGCAGAGAACCCCCTGCCTTTGGCTGTAACTGAGAGAAGGAAAAAATAGCTTTTGTTTCTTCAAGACCCCAAAAACATCTGTTGAAAGCAAAAGATAAAAAACAAAGTCCTGGTTCTATTGGAGCTTGAGCCCACCCATTCAGGCTGCTTCTATTGTTCCAACTTTAAGAAAAACACACAAGGTTTCACAAGGTATTTATCTTCTCATAGACTACTCAACACCTGTCCCCCAGTCTCTCTCTAAATGAAACCAAGATAAAACACGCCTCTTAAAGCTACAGCATTGTCACACTTTGCAATAAGATTCTATGGTCTTTGCACAAAATATCACTCCCTCTAATAGTTCTTGCTGAATAACAAAGCTCCCTTCTTCCTTCTCCATTCTTCTGCTGGAGAATACAGTCCCATGTTTCTTTGCTGTTCTTCTGTATCTTGGCCAAGAGGACACCCTTAAGGCTAGAGTGTAAGAAGTTGCAGGCTATTCAGCATGAGGGAGAAGTCAGAGAGTGGAACATGAGAATTACATAGGGTTTAAGCACAAAAAAAGGGTCATTCAGCCAACAGGTCCATGCTGGTGTTTATGCTCCTCATATATTTCCTCACACCACACAATATTTAAACTGATCAGTGTGATCTTCTATTCAGCTCTCCCTTAACCAAGTTCCCCTTAAAAAATGTTGATATCAGTTGCCTCAACCACTCCATTCGTGTCAAGTTCTAATATTATCTTGACAATCGAACCACTCCCTGACTCTACTTGAAGCCCACATGAAAGCAGTGTCTTTGGTGTTTATGGTGAATCTTCTTTTTCCCTTCCCAGTTCAGGATAAAATGCAACAACCACCTCTATAACATGGTAATAAGTATAAAATAGAAGTACTGATGACAGACCAAGCAAGGGTTTTCCTAGTCGGTATGTCTCCCTAACCTTCTCAATCATAGAGAGGAATTTTTTCTTTCTTGGATCCTGTTTTTCGAACTGATTTCCATTGTCATCTGTTTCTCTGTCCCAGGAGGTCACATGGTTGGGGATACAATGGAGAGTGCCATGTCTTGTGATATAACAATGGTGTTTTGGGATGGACAACAACTACTGGCCTTGCCAGTGATTTTCACATCCCATGAAAATCCCATGAAAAGTCAAAAATGACAAGTCTCTGCTGCAGTGTGGGACAAATTGAATTGAACAGAAGATCTTTTCCTAACTGCCATTTTTCACGTGTTTATATATTACAAACCAAGGAGTGTATTTAGTTTCCAAAACCTGTTGGTTTGAGTTCCCATTTTTATCCATTCTACAGAGTTTCAAAGCAACACACAAGGGCAGGAAATAGCTTGGCTGAAAATGTAAGGGAGAAAATAATTATTGTAGATAGAATTTAACACAACAAAAATTCTGCAATAGACAGCAAGGCTTGTCTCTTAGAACATTTATAATTACTGACATATTGAATATATTACCATCCATATCAGGATCTGACCTCTGTCCTTTATTAGTAGCGACACACACAAGTCTAGAAATTCTAATGGAACAAGATTCTGGTAAAGGAGGAAGGGTGCATCCAATAAGAGTGACAATTGGGAAGGGAGGAGTGACTGGATTGTGAGATGGGGAGGCTGATAGCAGTAGTGGTGACTGCTAAGGGAAACAGTGGTGAGCTCAGATAGGAGTGGGGATGGGGGTAATTGAGGTAAGTGGCATGGGGATTAATGACAAACATTGCCTACATTCTTTAGGTGCGGCCTTCTCCTACTTCTGTAAGCTGAACAATCAGGTTAGTTTAGTGATTGTAACGACGTCAGACGGTGGACTTCGCGGAATAAGAGTTCCCTGATTGGCGCTGTTAGTCTGGTCCAGTCAGGGAGCCCTGGCTGGCAGATATAAACAGGAATGTCAAACATCCTGTGCACTCTGAGAGCTGGCTCTGAGGGAGCTGGATCAGTGTCAAGGACTCTCCACACATAAATAAAGGGTGACTTGGTGACAGAATACTGGCCTCTGTGGAGTTATTTCAATTTGCAAGTTTTAAAGCCTAACTTTGTTGGATTTGGCTTAACCGGCAATGCTTTTAAGAACCATCTGTTCTATGTAGGCCTGGTTTTCCTGAATGCAGCTGATGTTGGCATTAGCTGCCTTAGGATGAAACAGTGTGGTAGTTCGGAGTTGGGAACCCAAATGCAAAGGGCCCGATGTCGGTTTTCGGGTTTAAGAACTGCACTTTGACTTTTACCAAAAGGTCAAGTGGATGACTTCTGCCTCATAGATGGCTTGCAATTCCTATCTGTCCTTTTGGTGGCTTTATATGTCAGAAAAACAGCTTCTGTGTTGATGAGTTTCTTTAGGTCTCAGCTCCTAATAATGCTTAAATTGCCACAAAACATCATGGAATTAATTAATTACATTGGCTGCTAATGGTTTGGTTTTTCCATGTCGTACACACATTCAGAAGCAAGCTCTCAGTCAATTATGCTCCCTTGCATTTTAATTGGCTTGTATGAATAGTGAAATACTCAGAAACTGATATGAAGAAAACTCCTTCTTGCAATAATGCATATTATGCAATGTCAAAGGTTGGAAGTGATATGGAGCGAAAATAAATAAATGGCTGAAAGGAAGGGTGCAACATTAATTCTTGTGCTGACGGTTATCCTTAATCATGCTTTAGACTTCTGATTTTTGAGATAAAGTCAACCGAACCCCATAAGCACTGATGTTGGAATTCCAAAATCCAGTTCAAACTGGAAACTGGATGTGATAGCATTGACAAATTGCAGTGTCAGGGTGACATAGTAACAATGTCACTCAAGGCACTGGGAGAATGCCACCATCTCCCATTAAGAAAACTGCACTTTCTGTTTTTATTATAAAAGGTTAAGAGACAAGATGTAAAAAGACTTGTCAGAAAGCTACAAACATTAATTGTTGACTTAAGTAATTGACTTTTTTAATGTCAAATATGGTTTACATCAACTAAGTGTAATTATGTACCTATTGTAATCTGCTTATCTGTTAAAAATTGACAGCTGTTGCTTATGATCTGTTTTCGGGTGCGTTATGCAGACAGACAAATCA